TCAGAGGAGGAGGGGGCAGCAGCGGATAGAACCACGAACCCTAATAAAAACCCCAAACGCAGAAAGTTCCAAGAACCTTCCTCCTCCTCCTCCTCCGCTGCTTCCGCTGCTTCCAAATCCACTAACAAGCCTTCAACCTTCCTCGATAAGGTACGTGATAAACTAAATTCTACGGCACGAAACTGCTGTGTTTTCCTTCTCTTTAGGACCGCTTTCGTTGACGCGATTCCATAAATTTGCAGATGCGAGTGAGGTTGTCCGGTGGCCATTTCAGAATGTTAAATGAGAAGCTCTACACTTGCAGGTGCGTTCTCCTTCTCTTCTCCACGTGTTATTATAAATAGCCAGAGTTGCAATCCCTTCGGATTTTTTGTGCGTAAACTTAAACTTTTTGTTTTATTTACTCCGCACCTTCAAGTTTGATTTAAAAAAAAAATCTGCTTCAAATTCTCATGACAATGCTTATGTCGTGGTAGCCAAAAATAAAACAAGACATTGTTAAAAATTTGTGCGAGTAGTTCAAGTCTGTGCAACCTTGTTCGATATAGTAATATGAATATGGCAAAATAAGCATGCCTGTGATCTCTATGATGCTAGGAGCTTTCATCTAAACTGTTAGCAGATCAATATTGCTGCTTTATTGCCCTCTCAAATCCGAAATCATCTGGATATTGGTGCAGACAGAAAGGCAATGTGAGAAGGAAGGTAAACTCTTTTGTTTTTAGTGTACGTACTGTCGTGGATTATAGCATGATGGAGGGAAGCGAATTTTAAGGCTGTTAGTGGTCGAGATTTGAATATTTACCAGTTAGTTCATTCTTAATCAGGGTCGTGACTATTGTGTTCCTATTATAATGCGTATCTGTGTCCGAGGTTGAATTTCCTCTAGATAGAACTGTAAATTTTGGTTTCTCCATATTGTAGTGACATTCACAAAAGAACAAATAAAAATTTAACTTGGGCTCTGCGTTTTATCACTATTCTTTTGGCATTGAGAACAGTTACATTAAATCTAGTTTCTTGCCCTTGGGTATCTTTTTCCTTTCCCTGATCTCCTCTCTTTTTTCTCAGCGGAAAGGATGCATTCAACTTATTCAAGGACGATCCTCAACTATTTGATGTGGTAATTCTGCAGCTTTATTTACTATTTTTTGCGTAGACTAAGGCATGGCATATATCATCAAAGAATGATTTTTTGCACTGTTTATGATATTAGGTTTGCGGCTTACAAGTTAGATTTGTGGATATATGAACGGTGTCACCTACTGTCTATATTGTTCTCATTTGCTTGTCTAAGACTTAACTTTGCTTGCGTCTTCTTTGTATAGAAATCATTGTTTCTTTCCATTGTGTTAAATAGCTTGTTAGTTGTTGGCTGTGGTTTATTCTTAAGAAGCTGCAAAGCAGACTAGGTAGTCAAATGATAATGTAACGAGAAAAGTAGAGAAATTTGTATTCCTTTCCGGTTAATGGCATGTGACTTGGAATAGACTAGATTCTTACATCAAAGAATGATGACTCTTCTTATACAATGACAATCACTTGAATTTTGCGTATTAAAAGTCTTTGGTTTCCACTTTACCACTTGCATGATCCTTCGTCATAAGTGACTGCTAGGCTCCACTGTCTGGTGACCTCACAGCTGTTCCGTTTCCTCATTTTCCTCCAAGTTTCAGGGTAAAAATTCGTCAGTTTTCGTACATGTTTTGCACATTCCTTCCTGTTTCCCTATTCATTATGATTTTATCTGCTTCAGCAGCATTATGTACCCTTCTAGTTCTTAATGTTGCAAATCCTTGTTCTTTTCCTTCATTACTATCAGTTCTTACTATTAGGTTAAAATAGAAAGAATTTCAGCAGCTTAACAGAAAAGCAAAAAGAAAAATGTGCTAAATTAGATCTTGAATTTGAGGTCTCAGGTGAGATACACAAGTATCAGGCGTCATTGTGGGGATTCCAGATATTTCCATATGCAATGTAAAATAGAAAAGAAAATAAGAAAACAATGAAAAATATTCATAATAAACAGTTCACTGGAGAATATGCCACCTATCTGGAAACCTTGTACAGTGCTGCGTTATGTCCAGAATCCCCTAAGCTTTCCCAAAAAACGGTAGTTCTTGGGTGGTTTTTGAGCCTGTACCGTTCCTGTATGGAACTCTGAATTCTTCAAGGTGGGTTTATTTTGTTTAATCCTCCAAACTAAAGACTGATGAAGTCCCTATTAAGCCTCTGTTCTTCAATTTGCTGTAGACTTGAAATTCAAATCCATTTTTTCCTTGTTTCATGGCATGTACCGTGATCTTGAATAACTGTATACTTTGACGCAAGCTTAGCAACATGTTTTGTTTGTACAAATATCAAAACATGGAGCAAGACCGGAACCATCTGGTATACTCATCTAGTCGCACTCTTTTTTAAATGTTCTTATATTTGTCTTTTCCTATTTGTGAAGTATTATTGGTGCTTTGTTGGCTTGTTTGAACTGCTTCCATACTATACAATAGATGGGTTATTAGATATATAATGTTATTCCTTGTGTAGCTATAACTAGTAGCAGGCATATCCATTGTATAATTTGGAATAGTATGGTTGTTAATGTTCTTTGTGGGTGCCATTACAGTTGATTATTTTTTCTTAGTATCACGCAGGTTATCAAGAGCAAATGTCACGCTGGCCAGAGCAACCAGTCAATATTATCATTAAATGGCTGAAGAGCCGCAATTCTTCTTTGGTGGTAGCTGATTTTGGCTGTGGTGAGAGTAGAAACTAATGCTGCACTAGTTTCGCCGTGGAGCATTTTGCATTTGTATAATCTTATCAGGAATATCTACATCAAGAATTATAGTTGAGAATATCGAGCTGTCTTTTTATAGAAATGTCATGTTAACTAACTCCGTATTGATCTTAGGGAATGCACACCTTGCAAGAAATGTCAAAAATAAAGTATACTCTATGGATCTTGTCTCAAATGATCCATCAGTTATTGCCTGCGATATGTCTCATGTAAGTAGCCCCTCTCTACTGAGTTCCCGATAAACGGGTTTAGTTTTATCTGAAATCATTTCCTCTTGATTATGATCTTTTTATTTTACTTATAGGTATGCAAGTTAATTTTTTTTCTTCTAGCGGCTATAATTTTTCTGTATTATTTTCTACAAATTTCATTGATGGTCTTTTTTATGGTTAGTATGTATTATAGTTAATTGATAATCCGTGTTTATGTCATTATTTTTCTTTCAATGTTGCAACATGTCCGTTTTAGATGCAATTATTCCTTGACTCCTTTTAACTATTTCATTCTCATATCTTTGGGTTTTTTAGTTAACGTAGTAAGACTTATCTTTATAATTCTGATTAACTTACTAAGGGAACCATGTTGATATGTAAGTCGGTATCTGTCAGACTCTACATATGTGTCCATGTGTATGTATACCTATGTGCTTGTGGAGGAAAAGTAATGGTATCTGCGTATGCATGCTGCATAACCAAATACTGACCCCAAGTGGATACGCTGTGATGCTTCATTTCGTAGAGATCCATCAACGTTATGACCTGGCTGTCAGCTGCCTATGCCATTCTTCCTCCTGAATTTGGCCGCTGCTGGAACTGAAGGATTTTAAGACTGTAAGCAAGACGACGGGACTTTATAGAAACATTAAAAATTAACAATTGAATTTAAGAAGTATATGTAATCATAAATTAAGATATTGTTCCATGCTTCAGCATCTGCAAAGTGCTAACATTATACAAAGCGTAACTGTGAAAAAAAGCTGCTGCCTGGGTGCAGAGTTTTCCAGGCCTCTTCATATGGATGCATGTTGAATTCAACAAAGTTCTGTTTATTCTCTACTTCTTGATTTTTCCATTTTTTTGATATTCCTAGATCTTCCCATATCTTCCTTTCCTGCCACTAAAATACAATTGCGCCTGTTCTTCTTGAAACTAGGGAGATGATTTCATAATTCTTCTCAATGTTGTGGCTGTTTAGTTCTTTCAAATCACTAATCTCCACATCTGACACTGACTTTTCATTTCATAATTTTTGAGAGAGTAAGACATATTCATGGTAAAATCTTGAGTACTACTGATTAACATTTGATGTGAATTTACGGTCGGCACAGACTTTAATCTCTGCTTATCTTTTCTTTGTGCAGACACCTTTGGACTCTGGTTCAGTGGATGTTGCTGTCTTTTGTCTTTCACTAATGGGCACAAACTTCCCTAGCTACTTGCAGGAAGCAAGCAGGGTTCTTAAGCCATGGTTTGCAAATTACTTTTAGCTTGTTACAATTTTTTTTCTAATATATTACCGCTTATATATGTCATTATATGCTCTTAACATCATTTACATTGTTATTGTGCAGTGGCTGGTTATTGATAGCTGAAGTAAGAAGCAGGTTTGATCCGAACAATGGAGGAGCTGATCCTGAGAAATTTACCATAGCTGTCAAGAATCTTGGCTTTAGCTTGGTTTCTAAGGTAAGCCTACTTATCGGCTTCTTTATGCATTCTGCTTTTTTTAAAAGGTGTCCTTGAGTATCTTGCGAGCTATGAGGTCTGATTTTGTGCATCTGTTATGGTTTATCATTGAATGCTCATACTTCCCTGTCTATAATTTTCAGGACTTTACAAACAAAATGTTTGTTCTTTTCTACTTTAAGAAAAAGGTGAACGTATGAACTACTTCCTGCCAAATGAAATCTTTTCATTTTTGACTTAATAAATGAAAAAAGTTTTGAGGGTTCAGTCATAGTACATCTCATGTTATCTATGTTGCAGGAAGCGGCTTCAAAAGTGAAGAACATTGAATGGCCGGAGTTGAAACCTTGTATATATAAACGTCGATGAGCTTGGGACTTCGGAAGGTGACATTTTTGCATAGAGTGTGTCGCTAATGACATGTAACATTTGGCATTGCGGTTGAGTTATAATGATGGCTGTATCTTGTTCAGAATCCTAGAGGCAAAATTTATTTGAAACATTTATTTTTATATGCAAGGAGTGAAGCATCTTTAGTGCACTGTACAGGATGCTTTTACTTTTGTTTACTAGATTATGGATTTGGACGTAGTAGAAAAGATGAGTCGAATTTGATAAACGGTGAAACTCGATAACACAGATAGGCATACAAATAATAGTTATGGCAATTATTTCGTAGAATACGATGAGGTGTATTTTACTTATCATTCATGTTCTATTTCGATACCGCGTGCTCCTTATCTCGTTCTACATGTTACGTTTATTACAGGGTTGTGGCTACTTATTTTTCCATGTTCTATAGGATACTTGTGACCATATTCGAAATATCTACACGAGTGCATGCCGAGCCTTTTTTTATTTTTATTTTTTTTTTAATTTTAATCTCTTCTAGAAAATGTTAGCGAGCATCATCTTAGCCTCAAATATTTTATGGGCGCTACATTGGAGAATCCTCCTAAAAGAGGATAAACTCTATACCCAGCAGAAGATCTGACCAATTCAAGTGCTGTATCAAATAACAATAATAACCACCCCTAATTATAATAACGAGTCAATACGGGTAACACCATTTAGGGAGCCGCCTTGACCCGAACCCGGTCGTATCTAAATCCTTTGAAAGGGGAAACTGTCCTTAATTAACTACGTGTTCGATTACTCTACGGAACGGACGTACTAAAATGTTTTGTGTTATTTGCTCAAAAAAGAAACGACGGGCTTTGCGTACGCGGACCGTTTCAGTGGTTGGAGACTGGGATGTTTGATTCCAGAAGATGCAGCTTAACTAACGAGATATTCAAACAATAGTAGTCACGGCTGATGAAAGCCCACCCACTTCCTAATTATCTATAGTTTTCGATAACGAGCTCTGACTTGTATCTATCTAGATCTATCCGTCTCTTTTTTTTTTTTTTTTTTTTGTTTGTGGTACGAAAAAAGAAGAAATTTTCAAAATAGTCCCAACAGAAAATTTTTTTAAAAGAAATCTACCCAATTCATTTTTAATTATAGAAATCGACCCACTTTGAGTTAATTACGGTACTAATTAGTCCGGGTTGCAAACCCTGACTACTTAGTAGCCCAATTAACAGCCGCAAACCTTCCCCGCTTCTTGACCCCGCTTGTAATTAGGCTACTAATTAGTCGGGGTTAGCAAATCTGACTAATTAGTACCGTAATTAACTCAAAGTGGGTCGATTTTTATAATTAAAAGTGAATATGATCTATTTCTTAAAAAAAAATTCTGTTGAGACGATTTTGAAAATTTCTTCTACCAAAAAAAGCCAACGATGCGTGCAAACTAGGAAACCCATCCCACCAAAACAAAAGATAGGTTTTGGTTCTTCCAGAGTAGAGAGACCGCTGATCCGACCTCCAACCCTCTCAAAGTCTTGAACTTCCAGAAACAATTAATTATAGCCCAAAGCCAAAAGAGGCACGCTGCTCCTAACGCGGCTTGATTAAATCAGCCTTCCACTTCCACGTATTTACGAGGACGGTCCAAATCGTTGACTCGGATGAATTCATCCATCCTGGCCTATGCTCGCTCCCTGCCAGTTTAATGTTTCTCGTCTTCGTGGAACCGACCGACGTGGGCAAGTTCGTAATTACTCACGTGAAAACACCGCTTTGCCTTGTTGTTTATACTTTAATACTTTATAATAATTAATTTGATGCCCCTCACCGGCCCCCAGCCTCCCACGCGCTCTCTCTCTCTCTCTTTCTGTATATATTGAGAAGGCCCTCCCTCCCTTTCTTTCGAAGAGACGATCGAATCATCCACATTTAATATATACAGTTTGGCTTCTTCAATTCTTCTTCTTTTTTTGGCCCCTGTCAGATTAATCTCAGTATATATAATCTCCGAAGAATAAGAATTCCCTCCTTAATTTCCTGCTTAATAGCTAGCTAGCTAATTAATATGGAACGGAGCAATTCGTTTGGGACTTCTTGGGCCGACCAGTGGGATTACAGCAACCCGGATCCGATGATAAGGCCGGAGACCAGGGACATCGGGCATGGCAAGAAGAGCGGGGTCGAGAAGACCAAGGAGGTGGCGGCGACAGGCCTGAAGAAGGTGAAGGCGGGGACGACGATGGGCTTCCATTGGATCAAGGACAAGTGCCAGCTGCAGAAGAAGACTACCACCCAGAAACATTGAATACATATATTGATACTTCATTATTAATTAGATTGATGATCTTGTTGTGTACGTATGTATGTATACCTTTGAATTAATATATATGTGCGTGTAGGTGTAATTATTAATTACAGTACTGTACATGACCCTGTCTAGCTGCGTGTATTTTGATTCCTTTCTTTCTTTCTAGGCATCTGCTTTGCTATTGATTAATTGTGATTCTTTAAATTTGTTATATGAATAAGATGATCAGAAGAGTATATAATTTTTTTTTTCCTTCTTGTTAATATATATGAGTATTATGCGAATATTCATTACTTTAGATGATTTGATTACGTTCTAGCTATATATATATGGTCCCTTTAATTAGGACTACAGATCTCTTTTTCTTTCAAGCTTACCGTTTGGATTGGAAAGTCCTTGTGCGTGCATGTTTGATACGTACGAATAAATGTCTAAAATCGAACCATTATTGGTGGGCTATATTGCACAGAGCAAAACCCTCCCAATTTTCTTACCACTCTTGGAGAATTTACCTTCCCCTTAGCCTTCAACTTGAGCCCATCAACCGTGAGATCGAGGTGAGTCTCTGAAAGGCAATTGAACCTCGACCCCTTTGCAAGCTGAACAATCTCATCGCGATGGCGGCCGCTGAGATCGAGCGTTCGTGATTGAATTCGATCGCGCTGAAATCGGCGAGATTGAAGAGGAGCTGCTGTTTTTGGGCATGAGAAGATTCGAGGGATGAGAGAATGGAGAGAGGAGTGAGGTTTTGCGAAGGGTTTTAATGGGGTTCTGGGGGCTCGGACGAAGAGAGAGAGAGAGAGACGTCATCGTAGCGAAATATCGAAGAGCTTGACGGCGGTGACTCGTGAGCGGTGCCTTTGGTAACTAGAGTGCAGGGTTTCGGGTCCGGATCGGGTTTAATATTGGAAAATGGATCCGTTAAGAAAACAGGGAGGAAGTGATCTATAGCGGAAGTTGATTTTTGGCAAAAAGAGTTTTCTCCGTCTTAGTTCCTTACTTACATCATCACTTTTTTGATATTAGTCTTCACGTTTTTATATTTTGATATTAGTCCTTGAAATGACATCAATATGTTGATATTAGTCCATCTATTATTGTTTTTGTTCGAAAACACTCGACCATGTTTAGGTATAACCTAAACATGGCAGAGTAAATACCGAAATACCCACGCTCCACTAAATTCCCCAATTAAACGATGATCCCTCTCTCTCTCTCTCTCTCTCTCTCTCTCCAGCAAATGGTCTTTTTTTTTTGCCCCCCAATTGTGATGTCATCCCTATAATCCGACAGTTAAGTCTAAAGAGACCTTAACATTTCACCATCTATTCTAATAAGTCCCTACGTTTTTTATTTTGCCAAAGCAACCCTCAACAGTCAATTTTGTTGTCTCAATAGCCCCCGAATCAAAAGTAATTCATTTTTGTTAACGCAATTGAGGGTTAATGTGTCAAACAAGCTTAAATCAACATTTGAGACTTTTTCCCCTCCAAATTAGCTAGGGTTCTTGCTTCTTGGTTAATTGAGTTCTCATGCTTCTTGGCCAAATTGAGTTCTCATGCTTCTTGGCCAATACTTCACATGGGATCTTTTGTCCCCAAAAAATAGTGTCCAAGTGAACAAAGCAATTGATCAAAGTTCACGCTGAAAAACAATTTTAAGAAAATAAACACATAGCAATATCCATACTGATTATTGGGTATGGATAAAAGAATTCTCTAATAGGAGTAGAAGGATAATGATAAAAAATACATGATATTATATGTGAATAAACATGAATCTACTTACTTAACCAATATGTACATAGCTATTTGATTTCAATAATGCAGTAATGGCCTAAGGTTTGACTTTTACGCAAAGAAACATCTCATTACTTTCCAATAGAGCTCCATCTTCTCATGACAGTTCTCTAAATAAATAAAGAAGAATATTCGCTGATATATACGTGAACCAAAAAAGAATGATCATCTACCCTTTAAAAGATAATCTAGAGTTTATCCAGATCAAAGATAGTCTAGAGTTTATCCAGATCACTGCCGTATTCTTATACATCAATAAGTCTTCCATAGCCTAACGCTCTTCAAGTAATTCTTTTTGTTACCCTGCCCTCTTATTATTCTGGTTCTATTTTGTGCTGTTAGGCACAAACACCTCCTTTGAGCAGATGAAGGTACCAAACCCAAACTGCTATCTATTCGAGAAATCTGAAAGATTAGCATTTTTTTCCCAGTTGGCGTTCTTTTGTAACTGAATGCATTGATTTTCAAAATGGTATTTTAGTTATTTTACATTTTAAAATGACGTCGAGAGGAGGGGGTTGGTTTTGGTGAGAAAAGTGTGAAAGATTTGACGGTTTTGTGAGACGCCCCATAGCTGAGGGGAGTTTTCTCTAATTTTTAAAGTTGGTCAGGTTAACTATAATATGCGCGAATTTTGAGGGGGGTTTCATGAGACATTCGCCATAGTTGAGGGTTTTTTTCTAAAACTATCCTAGAACTAGGGCTGAGCATGGTTCGGTCCAAACCGAAAAAACCGACCGAACCGACCCGAACCGATCCGAAAAAATCAGTTTTATGAGTGGTGTGGTTCGGGTCGGTTTGAAAACTTTTCAACCCGAACCGACCCGAACCGACCGAATATAGTGCAATACTACTCATTCTGATCTCAAACTACTACCCATTCTCGACCCGTCCCCAAAGAGTCAAAGACTCAAACCCTAAACTTATTTTTTGAATCATTATGAGTTGTAAACAATATCATTATATCAGTGTTTAATGCTTCATAATCTCCTACTTTGTTGATATCTTTTTTTCTTTAACACAGTTTGTTGTTTGATAAGAAGTTTGATGAAGTTAGAACCGAACAAACCGAACCGAACCGCACCGAACCGATTTACAACAGTCCGGTTCGGTTTTGATTTATAAACGGTTCGGTTCGGTTGTTCAAATTTTGGTAAAAACCGAACCGAACCGACCGTTGCACACCCCTACCTAGAACCATATATGTAAAATTATACATTTGTCACATTATATTTAAAATTGATGGATTAGTCTTCTTCTTAAAATATTATTGATTAATGGATCAATTTTTTTGTTATTTATTTATTGGTTTATCCAATATTTTCTAATAATTAGATTGAAATTCTAATAGGTTCTTAAAATTATTCTAAAAATAAGTATTCGTATTCTTAAGATTATTGTATGAATATTTTAAACCCTTATACTTATCTAATTACAATGTTCTACTTGATTGGTTCATGTTGTAAGATTTAACTCAATGTATTGCTTAGTTCGTAGTGACTTCTCTTCAGCTCTTTTAAATAAGTCATCTAATTTAAGTTTTAAATTTTGAAATAAAAGACATGCACACCCTTATTTTGTATTTCCTATATAAGGGGAAAAACACCCGGTCAATTTATCCAATTTTGAAGGAGCAACAGCTCAAAGAAATAAATTTTCAGAAGCACAGGCATAACTGAAAAAGAAACTTATAGATAACAAAGAAATTGGATATAGAAACCAAACACATCCGTACGAACATGGGCAAAACACTTTGGCACTGTTTGGCAACCAAAAAAAGTGTCTTATCTAAGAGCTTGTGTCTTATTGACTTGGTCAATAAGCTAGTAGAGCTCTTTCGTGACCAAAAATAGGAGGAGATTATTTTAGAGATTGTGTCTTTTGCAAGTAGCTTTTGGAAAGCTATCTCAAGTAGCGTTTGTCTTTGGGAAGGAGCTGCCAATTTTTTTCTTTCGTTTTTGCCCCTAATAATTCTAATTTTATATCAATAATATTACATGTCTTTTTTAGTCATTTAACAAATTTACGCTAGTTGTACAACTACTTTTGCCAAACAGCTCTAGTCAATCAGCTAGCTACACAGCTAACAGCTTTCAGCTACAATTTCACAGCTTTCAGCTATAATCTCGTAGCTTTTAGCTAGTTTTGCCAAACAGAGCCTTTGTATAACGATAATATTGATTTAATTTAAAAATGGCATCGCGACAGGTATCATGTATTCTTTAGTAATTAAATATATGATTTTTTTTACCTTCTTTGACTTCAGACCTGTGAAAATAAACGAGATACACCCACCACACCGCAATAAATCGCTCTTATTTCTCTTTCGTCGATAGAAAATACCAGCTCAAAAATCACTCTTATTTCGCTGTCACCAATAGAAAATACCAACTCTGAGTTCCTTATTATGCTAATAATTATTACAATAATGCCAATCTCATCACTTCTTGTAGTTCAATTCTCCTGAAATGAGCTTCTCTCTTCTATCCCTATTGAAAGCATACAGTTTATCCTTGGGAGGCAACGCCTCCTTCACCGCCTCCACGTCTGAGAACGCGTTGAACCACGCATTGATCGACGGCAAGTTCTCGTCGCTCAGTATGCTGACTCCGGCGAGATCTTCGATCATACGAAGCCAGTAAGGAATCCAGCCGGCGATTATGTCCACGTATCCAATGTTTTCGCCCCCGAAGAACTTCTTCCCCTTGAGAGCCTCTTCGAGTGTCCATAAGCTCTCTTGAACCTCTATGACGGCCTTTTGTAGCTCCTCTCCGGTCTTAAAATAAACTTTGTAAACTGAAGGCACGCACTGGGATGGAATCATATATACAACAGAGCAGGAAAAAAAAGGGCGTTCAGTACTTAATTTTGACCAAATTAGTCTACAACACATATACAAGCTTTAAAAACAGAGGCAAAAATACTGGAGAGGCCACTTCCTTAATCATAACCATACATCTTTTAATAGATAGGTAGGAGGATCGTGATGATAATTCTATTTGGGTTGAATCTTATATAATTGAGATAAATGCAGAATTTTGGCCTAGGAATGTAGATTGTATCATCCCGACCGCTAACGGCAATTACTTTTATTCGTAACTATCAACTGTCTACTGAATTGTTATGATTCATTTCAAGTGTAGCACAAAGTGTAGCACTTACTTATCCTCATAGCCAGCACTTACATCACAAAGGAAGTACGGTTTACAAAGCGAAGTTTTGAAAAATTCATTTTAATGAACAAACCATAAAATACGTACCTCGTCTTCTACAAATTTAGCCCAGAACCGTGCTTGTGCGCGTTCAAATGGATCCCTCGGCATGATACTGTATCCGTCACCCCAAGCCTCGTCAATGTATCCGACGATCACCGACGACTCTGCTATGGCCTTTTCTCTGTGCACGAGCACGGGGATCTTCTTGGTGACAGGATTATACTGCAAAAGCTCTTGACTCTTGTTATGGGGCAAGTCTTCATTGATGTACTCATAGTCAACCCCCTTGAGCTTGAGAGCCCACTCTACTCTCAGCGCGAAGGGGCTTGCCCACATCCCAAAAACCTTCACTTTGTCTCCAGCCATTATTGATGTTGCTGTTGAATTAAATGGATTTTTTTCTGCCGTTGTAAATTGAGTAAGCAGAGAGGTATTTATACGCGCGCATAAGAGTAAGTTTTGTTTATTGGGTTGGTTAGGAGGTTCATGAATGTTCCAGCTTGGAAATTTCAGATGAGCTGCTCAAATTTGACCAGCAGGGATTCCAATAATTACTTAAATAAAACTTTAAAATAACAGATACTATTGAGATGAATTAAGAGATGCATGGCTAGCATGCGAAGAGAAACATAGAAAATTCAGCCTAAATGAAATTAAAGCTACCGAAAGGCACTGATCAATCTCCGAGTCAAAGTATAATTTAAGTGTAAAGTGCGAGAAACAAAATTTCTGAAAAATAAAATATCTTCTAGTATGAAATTAGAGCGAGCGACGTCCCTGGTTCATAAAGGAAGCTCGAGCTTCCGTGTCAAAGTTCACGCTTAAGCGTCAAGTCTCTAATGTTATGAGTCTTATGACTAACTTTTGACATCATATCTACTAACTTTGACATCAAGCGTTAGGCATCATTGATGGATTTATTTGGAAAACTTGACCCCCCCCAAAAAAAAATATGAAACTATGAGGTCGTCATCGTTCAACAGTAAACATTTATTTCATTTTCATATGTTCCCGGGTGCACTTTTGTGCAAATGGGAATTATTATTCTACAATAAATACATTTTTAAGTTACAACACGTAACTTGTAAAAGGGCCTGTATTATTTTGGACCACTCAACAAGGAAAAAAGGAAAAAGAGAGATTCAGAACTTTTGAGATTGAATCGGGATCTCTTGAGTACAATAAAAACCAAACTCTTGATGTTATGGTCGGCTCTAATCACAAGTTTGACAAGGCCTGTGAGATATTTCGAGATATGCGATCATGTATAGGCTCCTGTAAAATGAAACAATTAAGTTAGTTGTATTGATAAGATTACTGGAATGCTGAAGTAGGTCACAAATTTCTACCTCTATGCTTGGTGTCTCAAACTTTGAATTTGTGATTGTTTCATAAAGGAAAATGTACCTGCCATGAGCACCAAAAATATAATGAGATACAGGACTGGCATTTAACCTAAAGTATACTTTTCTCTTTCCTACTGTGTAAGGCATATATTGCGTACAAAAAATTTTGAGGGGCTCTTTAGCTGAGCACATGTATGTATTTTCCATATAAAGGCTTATTTTCACTTTGGTACCCCAAAAGTTCACTCTGTTTCAGCTTGATACCCAAAGTATTTTTTTTTAACACTTAGATAACTTCCAAAGTTTCAACGTCATGTCACTTTGATACCCCCATCCAGATTTCAGATTTTAAAACAAGATAAACTGTACTGTAGTGAACAAATTTTTGCTTAACTGCCCCTTATGTTTCTATGCATGATGGATAAAAAAGATGAGAAGGTACAACAAGACACACCGCCATGCAAGTTCACAAACAAGTTCCTCGGGGGCATCAGGAAGAACCTGAAAGCTCAAAGCAATGGGAAGGAAACTGCTGTTAGTACATCAACAAATGCCCGGAAAAATATAAAATATAAGTGAATACCTTATCTTCATAAGGGTTGCAGTGTTCCTTGAACCAGAGTCTTAGGAATTCCTAAGAAAGAACAAATAAAATTAGGTGTCAACACATTTTATAAAGAGTTATGCTTTGATGCTCCGAAAATAAGAATTTTTATAATTTTTAAATGGATGGAAAATTAAAATTTTGGGCTGAAAATAACAAGGGTGCATTTGTCCTTTTCTTTTCAATTCCTATCCTATTATTTCTCTGTCCATAACCACTTCACCCACCTCCCTTGTTTCACGTTTACTAGGTGAATTGCACACGTGCAATGCACATGGTATACTTTTTAGATTTAGTTAAAATTGATAATTTAGTTTAGCCTAATTTGGAGCTTATATACATGTTTAAACAAACATATAATAGTGTAATTTTCAGATTTTGATTTTTCAATGTACAAAAGAATATAAATCAATACAATTTATTACACTTATTTCATGAATATTTTCTCGTAAATGGGGTATTAAATTGTTAATGTTAGTATGTAGAAAGATCCCCTGACTTAGTTCTAAATCTTTTCAATGAAAATATAAATAAAAGTGTAATTTTACAATCAACATTTAATTTTATTCCTCTTTATAATGATAAGAAAGGAATTGACATATGCATGTTATGCATAATTTTATACAATATGACTAAAAGCAAGAACAATAATATCTATTTTAAACACAACTTTGCATATAAAATATAAGTGAATACCTTATCTTCATAAGGGTTGCAGTGTTCCTTGAACCAGAGTCTTAGGAATTCCTAAGGAAGAACAAATAAAATTAGGTGTTTAACACATTTTATAAAAGCCACTGCCCACTTATCTAACAAGAGAAGCATTTGACAAGTGGCAAGAAAGTGCAGACCCGACTCTATCAGGTTAATAGGTTCAAATTTCTAAACACAAAATACATACATTTTACAACACATCAGTCACTAAATACCTTATCAACATTCTCAGGCTCACGCCGAGTATTGAAGCGCTCCTCATAAGAATCAGCATCACTAAATACCTTATCAACATTCTCAGGCTCACGCCGAGTATTGAAGCGCTCCTCATAAGAATCAGCAACCCAGTATCTGCTAGAATCAGGGGTATGCACCTAAATCATAGAACAGTAAACAGTGAGCATGCACAAAATACAATATTGTGGATATCTCGCGGAAAGGTAAATTAACATGCAGTAAAAACAGACTTCCTTATGATCTGGAAGAATATGTGCAAATCATTTCCAGTTATTGATTCATATAACCGCCATTCCTTGTTTCATTAGCTTTCATGTGAGATGCTGATATTTTAAAAAAAATAAAAATAAAAATAAAAAAGTACATAGGATCTCCATGTTCCCTCCATATTCAAATCTTTTGTTGATCAAATTCCGAGCATAATGAAAATCAGTACAAAGCTGCAGGAAGCCAGTCTATAATCTACATATCCAAACTCATAAAATATGCATGAAAAGTATGGAATTTGTTCTAATGTCACCATTTGACAGAGAAAAGTGAAGGTAGAACAAAAAAAAAAAGCAAAAGCAGTACAGTGGTTGTCAAGAGCAAAGCAGCAAGGAACATACACATGTTTTTCATCATCTTTCTATCTTGAAATATACCAACAAACAAGAAATGTGGTTCTCCTAGCTTTTTTTAAAGAACTTTCTAGACACTGACCGCAAATCATAAACAGCATAATTTGGGGTGGCCCCAAGAAGAACTAAAATGAAACACTATCAGTTTTCCAAAACTTTAAAAACGTCTTAAATTACCAATAACCAGTTGCAGAAATGCTAAGAAAAATGGCCTCCGTGGATATAACTAGACTAAGGGCATCAACTATCAAGTATACATAGAATCCTAAATAATAGCCAAGCGTGTTGCAGAATCAAGTTCAGACCTAATTCGAAAACAAGGCTTCTCACTTGATGTCATTAGAAACAATGATTTTAAAAGGAATTGATACTAGTCAACTCTAAAACGAAGAACAGATAAGGTAATGACACACATTTGAAATATTAGTACATAAAATAGAAGATCGGATTACTATATCGTAAACAAAAGATATAGAGCGAATGAGTTTCCTAATATCCTAAAGAGAAGATGTATAGCGGATGAGGTCATTGCATATTTGTATTGCTAAGAGCAGATAATATCATCAACGAGAAAGTTGGATAAAGATAAGCCACAAGATATAGGACATCAAACCTCATCAATCAACATTATTGTACCATCAACATCTTTCCCAAATTCATATTTTGTGTCGACAAGTAACAGTCCATTCTCCAAAGCTACTTGCTGCAAGAAATAAAGGCATCAGAGTGGATGATCTTTTTTATATGATGGATTATGAAAGTAGTAGAACTAGAATGATGTGAACAATCATTCGTCTGGTTGATGATATGTTACATCACATTATATAGTCAATAGCACATGGAACAAACAGATGACAGGACATGCATTATAACAGATTCTTGCAAGCGCCTTTTTGGTGCCAAAAAAAGTTAACAAAATACTTAATCGTAAGCAGGCAATGACACGGATTCTGTACTGTAAAGAGAAAAGCTGTGTAATGAGGACTTATAACTATCAAGAAAGAAAATACCTACCTGTCCGTATGCAAATAAGTCTAAAGCCTTGTTGCTTACTTCAGCATATTCATCTCGACTCATTAAACCAAGCTCAAATATCTGTGTAGATGTAAACATTATAGTATTAAATCAAATATGACTGCTAGCAAAGTATGAAACAAAAAGATAATCTACAGAGCGTCCTCTGAAATGCAAACACAAGAGTTCAGATGTTAACTACTGAAAAAATATGCTCATAAAAAACTCTCCATTGCAAAACTTAACATAGCAATACAATATGTTTATTGATGCTTCAGATATTTTTGTGCGAATAACAGTCTACAGAGGATTAGCTATATCAGCCATGAAACAATGATTGCAAGCTCACATCTGTGTTGTCTGATAGGATTTCACCATTAAAAATCCTATTTTTCTCATAGAACTACTAGATCAGTTTCTTATATGATGAAGAATGAACAACTTACAAAAAGACATTAAGTTTAATAAAAATGAATACATCAATTAATTACTACTTATACAAATGGTTTTCTGGGAGCATCAAGTCATAATGTAATAAAAATGAATACATCAATTAATTACTACTTATACAAATGGTTTTCTGGGAGCATCAAGTCATAATTGATCTTCTAGTTGTAAGAAATCAACCGTTGTTCAAGGATTCCATTTGTAGACCTGAGAGCCCAACACAAAAGCTCTTTATAAGTATGTAGATCAGTAAACCTTCTGGCCAGTCAATGTTATTATATGCATATTAAGATAAGTAACCTAAGAGGTCATATCTTGTGGTTCTAGAGGAATTGGACATCTGTGTTATCTCAAATACTAATCCTTTCTTGTGGTTCTAGAGGAATTGGACATCTGTGTTGTCTCAAATACTAATCCTTTCTTGTGTATCAGATTCCCACTGTACCTACTTGATGCTACTACTACCAGGCTCTTCCACAGTCAGAGCACTGGTAGACCTAGAGTGAAAGCCCAGAAGAGATCTGCATCCATACAGTGATTCAGGGCCACAAGATCAGCCCTGCAATCAGTCATTAGAATCAGTGTGTACTCAACTAATTGATTTAAGTGAATCAAAGCCCCCACAAAACTCAAAGTAGACTTTCTTATGCATCTACCAGGCCATTCATATGCTTGTTCAGATGAAGGATCATTATTTCTGGTGAGCACCAGAGATATCAGATGTTCTGGTGGGTTGATAATGAGTTAAGATTACAGCACGTAAAGATCTTCATGTGATCACCATTTTGTTTAGTGGGATCTTGACAGTGAATGTAAGCTTGTTCAAGCTAAGCATGTCAATCTCATATGCAACATGTTGTATGAGTTTAGTATTTACACATATTTTCTCTAACTTATTTAGCTATAGATGGTTCTGGTGAAATATATGACTATTTCCAGCTTAGGAGAAAAAAGTCTTCATTTGCTAATTGAGAAATAAGAGGTGGAATGCAGTACCTAGCTCTTGTTTGATTCTATCCATTATACTACAGAAGATTGTGCCACTTGCAGTTGGAATCGGATTCTTCAAAATGCAGGATACCACTGTCCTCTTATTTGAGACATAGTATAACAAAAAAATATAATATTGAGCATTAAATGAATCATACCATACAAACGCATTGCTTTTCCAGTCACCCCTGCCACACCCATGCCATAAAAACAAAAGGTTAGCTAAGACTAGGCTCTACACCTTAGACGTACAATAATTATGTTAAATCTGTTTCACTTTAAATTATGGTTCACAACTTCATATCTCCAGCCAGATAACAGTTAAAGAGGAAAAAAGAAACTGTGTAGTAGTTCTATTTAACAGAAACTTGTCTCATGCAATTTAAAGCATATGGTTTCCTGCTAAGTATTTAAGTTAGTAAATAAAATAAATGATCACTGATTAGATGCAGCTTTATTTTGTCATGTGACATACGCTTTTAAATTAACTTGAGAAGAGCTTACAAATCTTTGAGGGTCCAACAACACAGAACACTAAAAAAGCTTAAATTAAGTATATCAGCACAAATCAAAATTTATTTAATAAAGGAGGATGCACTGAAAACTTACATCGTCAGGAGACACTGGAACATCATGATCTTCAGATTTCGTTGTGGGTGTGAGTATATTTGTAGGTAGCTTTTGATTTTTTACCATACCTAAAGTTTTTATACGGAACACTTTAGCATTATGTAACTGTTATTAAGAACTGTGAATTAGCATTTGAAGTAGTTACCCTCAGGAAGCTCATTGCCACAATAACGTCTTGCACCCTTGTTGTAAACTGTCCACAATGATGTATCAGTGCTGCCGGTCACAAAGCCTCTAACTGCAATGTGCATCCAAGTTGTAAACTGTCCACAATGATGTATCAGTGCTGCCGGTCACAAAGCCTCTAACTGCAATGTGCATCCAAGTATAATATCAGTTATCAAGGAAGTAGAATAAAGAGAGGGATCATACATAAGTAATGAAGGTAGAGTGGAACAAACAAAGGAAGAAAAAATAATGTACCGACAAAAAAACAAATTCCAGACCACTAACAAATTGCAAACACACGACGTGATGTCCACTTGAAAAACATGCATAATGCATATTCATCTATACTGCATCTTTTGTGCACGCCCTGGAAAGTCATTTAACGATCAAAGATAGTCTAGAGTTTATCCAGATCACTGCCGAAACTTATTTCTTTTACATCAATAAATCTTCCATAGCCTAACGCTCTTCAAGTAATTCTTTTTGTTACCCTACCCTCTTATTATTCTGGTTCTATTTTGTGCTGTTAGGCACAAACACCTCCTTTGAGCAGATGAAGGTACCAAACCCAAACTGCTATCTATTCGAGAAATCTCAAAGACTAGCATTATTTAAAATAATTTCATTGGTGCCTCATCTAATAAACCAGGAAGCAGCCCATCAGGGATGCTATAGGCCCAAAATAGACTTTCTAACCGTAAATCACAGGTCCCAACGGTATGCTTGTAGCTCAGTTGAAATCTGATTAATTAGTTTAAATCTGAATGGCTGATAACTTCATCCAATGATTAACTGATCAATATGCTTTTCTGATGAGATCACATTCCTAATGTCCATCTACACACAGCATACTTTGTTGAAAGCTCTGATAAAATTCATGAACACTGGTTCGACCGCAAGTAACGATTAAATGTCTTAATTTATGTCATCAATAAAGAATACATTGATACAATTCTTTTGCACTCTAATCCTCAAGGCAATGCATGCAAGAAATCAACAATCCTTTTATGAGACAACATTAGGTATTTCTTTCATAGTTCGATCATCATATATGGCTTGCATCTGCAACTTCTACAGTTCAAGAAAAGAAAAAGAAAAAAAGAGCGGAAGATATGAACTACAGGATGATAATCGGGTAATAACTCACCGACAAATTCAACTGGGAAAACTGAACATTTCCTCGCAATTGTAACATTTTTATCAGGTGCACAAACCACTGCATTTGGAGTAATATGTTCGGTCTTATTAAACCACCACAGACTTGTCTCATTAAGAACCTGAAAAGGAGTACAGCATTTATAAATACCACCATACATCTTGCTCAATAACAGCAAAAAGAAAAAAAATTGGTATTATTGACCAAAATGATATCTGAGAGAGGACATGGTGCATTAAGTTAAAATTAAATATTGTGAAATGAGAAGAATACGGAGTATCGTGAATTATCAATAAATTACTAAACCTAGCAAATCCAGCACAACCAGTTATCAGTTAATGAGCTTCCCAAAAGTCTAAGAAACAAGCTATCAGCTCTCAAGGAAAGCTATCGTTCAAAGGAAAAGATCACAACTTTGATCAAGCATCCATATAGAAAGAACTAACTCCACCAAAAACCATCATCTTTGGCAAGAAAACAGCAAAGGAGTCCCAAAAAAACCAAAATTCAACCCATAACGAAAGAAAGAAAAAACACACACAAATACCTGTCCTTTGAAAGGAATCGAAGCAAGAATCCGATCGAAAGCGCTCTGCCTATCCGTTGTCACCAGCACCAAGTGATCTCCCCCTTCATAAACATCCCTAACCTAAAAGTACAGGGGGAAAATTCAAAAAAGAAAAAAAAAACGATTAAAAAAACTAGCTCATTCCCGTTAGAGAATTTACTTTCCCCTTAGCCTTCAACTTGATTTTGATGGATTCTTAGCTAATTCAAGCAATGAGTGCTTGTCTCATCTCAAAGGTACAATTTTTTTCATTTTATTGAGAATTTTGTTCTTTTTATGTTTTATCCTAACTTTTGGGGTCAGCTATATGAATCTTAATACTCCATTCATTTCTGTTATAGGTCGTCTCCTCCATTAAGTTTAAAATTATCATTTCTTTCATAAATGTTTTTACCCAGGTTCTTTTATGTGGCATCTTACTGTTGTCCATGTGCATTGAGTATACATATCTTGTTACATATCTTGTTACATATCATTGAGTATACATATCATGTCACATACATTCTTTTATGTGACATGTAGTTGATTGTTAATAAGTTGCTTACTGGAATTTTTAATAGACCTATTTCTGTGTTAGTTTACTGTATAATGGATTCGTGAACTATTAAAATAGATGTTCTGTACTCAAAGGATTGAATGATACATTTGCTATTTAGAACAGAGGATGGCTTATTGAGCTGAGACTTAACAGTATCTATTGTTTGTTAAGTCTGCATCTGTTGCGTCAAGTCTACAATGTAATATTAGAAATAAAATTGTCTCTACGTATCTGGGGCCATACTGTATATATTATTTACTTGAAGCAGTTATAATTTGCCCCATCTTTACAGTGCAATAGGCTGTGATTTGATCTCTGTAAGCAGTTGGGATTTCTCCAGTGTTGCTACTTTGCTCTAATTTGCCCCATCCTTCTTCCTACAGATTGAATGATTGTTGAATTCAGATAGCAAAATAAGCGCAAGTGTCGATTGGTCCTCTGTTAGTCTCTGGCAGATTTCAAAATTTATGGAGTCTGTTTTTTCTCCTCCTTACCTGTGGTATTTGCAGATTTGGATGATTGTTGAATTGTTCTTTTGTTGCTACGGATAGGGTTTATCATACGAGCGGTTCTGAATTCTCGGTTGCAATTTCTTTACATTGAGGATACTTCTCTTCTCACATGCTATTCAGTTTGCAACTCTTTGTATTTTTTCTTATTAACATTTCTCTTGGTATATCAAAGACCAATTTGACTATGTAATTGTCAGTTGTACCTGCTTTGTTTATATAGGATGATGTTTGAGCATGGCTTATAGGTTGGAAATCAAGGTTTAGATAGTTACATTTTTAATGTTCAAATACATGAAATTGTTACTTATTTGCTTTGATATCAACTTATTCTCACTTTGAATATGTGTGAAATATGAAACAAACCTCAAGTGTTTTCCAGCCTGGATATCTGTGAAATATGCAATGATGATGTATTATTAGATATTTTTTTGTAAGATACTTGATATGTTTGTAGAGTTTTTTTTCAAGTTATGGTGGGTAATGAATTTGAAAACTTAGCAAATGTAGCTATCATCGCCAAAATCATAAATTTGTGTTTTTATGGTTATTATTTTACACATCTCCATTGCATTTGATGGGTTAAGAGAATAAGTTTTCATCAATTTTAAATTCAATTTCATGTATAATAAAGTACCCAAACACTAGATTTTGAAATCAAAGATTTCAAATCCTTTCATTTAATAAATATATCCAAACAAAAGATTTCTTAAATTATGGATTTCAAATCCTAAATTTAAAATCCCTTGATTTTAAATCAATTTCTTAAATCCAAATCCAAGTTTACCTTCCCCTTAGCCTTCAACTTGAGCCCATCAACCGTGAGATCGAGGTGAGTCTCTGAAAGGCAATTGAACCTCGACTCCTTTGCAAGCTGAACAATCTCATCGCGATGGCGGCCGCTGAGATCGAGCGTTCGTGATTGAATTCGCGCTGAAATCGGCGAGATTGAAGAGGAGCGGCGGCCGCTGAGATCGAGCGTTCGTGATTGAATTCGCGCTGAAATCGGCGAGATTGAAGAGGAGCTGCTGTTTTTGGGCATGAGAAGATTCGAGGGATGAGAGAATGGAGAGAGGAGTGAGGTTTTGCGAAGGGTTTTAATGGGGTTTTGGGGGCTCGGACGAAGAGAGAGAGACGTCATCGTAGCGAAATATCGAAGAGCTTGACCGCGGTGATTCGTGAGCGGTGCCTTTGGTAACTAGAGTGCAGGGTTTCGGGTCCGGATCGGGTTTAATATTGGAAAATGGACCCGTTAAGAAAACAGGGAGGAAGCGATCTGATCTCCTGCAGTTCGAGCACGACGTCAACGACGAACTCGGCAGCGATCTGATCTCCGCTCGACCTCAGTCTCGATTGCGACGGCGACGACGATTGACCTCAACGCAGTCGTCTCCATCCTCGGCGATTAAGAGAGAGATATCGGCCACCCCTTTTCATTTTGCGGCTAAAACCTAGCTCGCTGGAGGGTTTTTTGCCTCGTGACTGAAGCGGGGCTGATAAGGAGTGGATTTTTTTGGGCTTTATATTTGCCTAGTTGTTCAGTCTCTGCTTGCTTCCATTTTTTTTGTTGCATCAAAGCAAGGCCCACGTTCACCAAGTCGCCCACACATTCACCAAGTCAAGGCTAATTTTTTTTTCATTTGTTAAATCAAAGCCCACCAGAGAGTACTTGTTCTATCGGCTGGAGTCTTTTCAAATACAAGCTACACCAACTCAGATCAGAGAGTTACTTCTTCAGTCAACACCACTAGGTGACGACCTTGCTTCAATTGGAGCTTCGTTTCTCAACTCACAAAAATCAGGTTCATTTTTATTTATTTATTTATTTATTTATCTAACTTTATTATATTTTAGTATAATTGTCAAAATATCAACCTTATACATATTTAAAATTGAATTTAGTTTTAGTTCTCTACCGAATGACTAGTAAACTCGTTCTATCGGAACTAGAAAAAATTAACAAATTTAATGACAGTAATTATGATATGTGGCATAGAAAAATAGGATATGCTCTTATTCATGACAACATTGATGGTATAATCGAAACCACTGCTCCAACCCTTACTGATAAATCAACACCTGAAGAAAAGAAAGAGTTTGAGCAGTGAAAGTCAAAAGACAAAAAGGTGAAAAGCCTTATGCTCATGTTCATGGAAGATAAATTTAATTAAATTTTTTGAAACTTATAAAACTTCCATGGACATGTGGAATGCAATAAAAGAAAAATACGACACTGCTTCTAAAGTTAACATCCAACTCCTCTAGCATAAGTATAATTCTTGTCGTATGCAAGAGGGAGACAATGTCGTAGAACATATAAATAAAATGATTGTCATGGCTAAGGACTTATCCACTGCTGGGACCGATATCTCGAAAAGAATGCAAGTGGCAACCATTTTGAATAGTCTTCTCCCTTCACTTGTTGTGGCTGCCACCACATTAAGAATGAATCATGCCATTAAGTCTGTCACTGATCTTCCTATGCACCTAGCGATAGAACAGGACTTAATAGCCAGTAGGAAGGAACCAGAACTGAATATGGTGCAGCAGGAGCTGAATTATGTCCGCCAGAGGCATAATACTGGAAGTTATAAAAACCCTGGTCCTAGTAAACCACAACCGCGAGGACCAAAGTCAAAGCAGTTCAAGAGAAAGAAAGTACCCCGCAGAGCCTGCTACAATTGTGAAAAATTCGGGCATTTCAAGCCTAATTGCCCACAAAGTGAAAAGTAGAAGAATAAGGGAGGCTATAAACATCCAGAACAAAGGGGTACTAGCAAAAGAGAATTCGTCAGTGTGACGGAATGTAATGCTGTGATGACGGATATCAGTGGTTGGTGGATCGATTCCGGTGCAACTAGGCATATCGCAAAGAACAAGAAAGGAGTCATAGAATTCACCAAGCTTAAGAAAGGAGAACAGAGAATCTATATGGGAAATAATACCTATCTCGATGTAGAAGGTATTGGTTCAATCTATATGGGAAATAATACCTATCTCGATGTAGAAGGTATTGGTTCGTATAGATTGGATCTTGGGGATAATATTCTTGTCCTCTAATACCTATCTCGATGTAGAAGGTATTGGTTCGTATAGATTGGATCTTGGGGATAATATTCTTGTCCTTAAATATGTGTGCTATGCGCCAGGAATTCGGCGCAATCTGATCTTTGTTCCCAGCTTGATGAAGAAATGACTGGAAGTTATGTTCTATAATAACAGGGTTTCTATAGGCAAGAATAATAAAGTGTATGCTATGGGAAAATATGTGCCCGAGCATGAATTATGCATTCTTCCAGTAGTTTGTAATAATTCTGATAATAAAATTTCGAATTTGAACTACTTGTCCTGTTATATTTCTGAGTCTGAATTATGGCATTCTAGATTAGGACATGCTAGTATTTTAAAAATGAAAGAAATTATCAGAATGAACTTGCTTCCTGCACTATCTAATGTTCAATTGCCACCATGTGAACATTGTTTATCTGGTAAAATGACTAGAAAACCTTTTATTGGCGGACAAAGAGCCAATGAACTTTTAGGGTTGATACTGTAATGACCGTGAATTTTGATACTAGTTAAAATAATTTTCTAGTATTTTAAAATATTTAATTATTATTTATAAACGAGTATTTGTATTTTTCTTGATTTTCTATAATTTTCTATGATTTAAAAATCTGATTATATATTATTTAAATGATTTTGATATCTATATAGTTATTTCGTGCAGTAAAATTTTCTAGAATTAATTTGTTATGTTATCAGTACTATTACGTAATATTTTAAATAATATATTGTATTATTAATATTATTATAAATTATTTCATATAATACATGGTATTATTAATTACATGTTTTTGGTATAATTTGTTGAATTATTCTATTGTTACATATTATTTGTCGTATTAGTATAACTTGTACGTTTTACTGTATAGATAATTATCCCATAATTATTTAATTTTAAAAATAAGTAAATATATTTTTATTATTAATTATTCTTGTTTAATTATACAATATGAGTATATTTCGACTATTTCGTATCAATTGTTGTATTAGCTCAACATGTACGTTTTTAATTGTAGATAATTATTATGTAATTAGTTTAATTTTTAAGCACCCAAAAGTATTTATTTTAATTATTTTAATCTAAACCCTAACCCTAATTACAATTATATATATATGTATATATATATTTCCCCTTCTCTCTCTCTCGTGAAACCGCCGCCCCCATCCTCGTCTTCTCTCTCCCCTCTCCTCCGACCACGCC